GGTACTCATGCACGAGTGGCGCGTAGGAGAGAACTTCGGCCCGAACATGTCGTATCTATTAGACTTTACTCTTCTGAAAGTGAATCCCGAACCATTTCGTTGCCCATCCTTTCTGCAGCCTGCCATTATTACCGATTCCTTTAGGGTGCGTTGATTCTTTGCGTCAGCATAGGGCAGGGGTTTTAGCGATAGGAAAATACAGATTCGTCCTCGGCGACTGCCCTCAAAACGCCACGTGGGTAGCCATACTTTCCTAGTCCCTCAGAACGCTGGCATGCGCTCAAAACACTAGATCGATAGCTATACTTCCTAGTCGGTCGGAGTGCTGCTTACGCTGTACAACACGCTGCCGTACGCTGAAACGCAGAACGCTCTCTGAAGCAAAGTATGAACGCACTCTCGCGCATCGCTTCGCTAGTATTTCCTTCATTGTTCCATGCGCAGAAAGCGAGTTCATTCCTAAGACCACTTCATCTTAGAGCAGGTATGGGCAATTCGAATAAAGGCTTATTGAAAAGAAAATGAGCAATTGGACGACGGACGAAAGCATTGCGAATGATTCATAAACTACTAAGAAGAATCGAATAATTGGAAATATTCAGGGGGGGGGGACAGTCGAAAGCCAAGAGTTGGAGGCAGCTTACGTTTCGTAAAATCGAGTTCGATACATTTTGAGAGAAACAGTGATGAAAAATGGAAAAGAATTGTGAGGGTTGAAGTTGTAAATCGTCCGACAAGGTGGTGATGAACCGGGTCATCTGTCAAATAATGTGTTTTATGTTCCAACTACACGCATATCTATACAACATATGAACTTAAATTATGCAATTCCATTGCAAAACTCATGCTGGAAATCGAAGTAGCGCGAACTTTTTGCATAACCTAATAAGTTGGATGTCGCGATGATCAAGTTGCGTGAGAATATTTCATGTGGCCGCCGGTTACGATATAGGTAATGCTTGTAAAGTGTATAAATATAGTGAGTGATCAGTAATCGATTCCAGAAAAAGCTCGACGAATTCTCGCTCTGTGCGGATTTGCGTGACATTTCAACGGATCTCGAAGCTTCACATACCACTTGTCTTCATCGGGTCATTCAAAAAATTAGCCAAGCATTACAGGTTATTGTCGATGAAAAGGTACTGTCTAGATTTCTTTTCGGCTATATTCTGAAATTTTTCTAGGAACTATTGTCATTTAGTAACTCTCGATCGCATTTAATGCTCAGAAAATATATTGGGTTGTATTTCGGATGGTGCACCGCAACCGTTATTGCCACCCCAGGCCTCTGCACACCGTAGCCTGCTCCGGACTGTCCGTCAACGTTCACCTGTCTCTTCACTGAGACCGATTGCTCTGCTTCGGTAGGATGCCTGCGGAGACGCTGACTTGTACACCGCTGACATTTTTTTAAAATCTTTTTGTGGTTCCTGAGCTGCTCTTTATATTCTTCCAACCTTCACCTTTTTCTCAACCCTGCGGAGGTATTTAAAAGTGGTTTCATCATGATTTTTTTAGAGTATAAGTTCGAGCTCCATCATATCTTCAGTGAAAGGGAGAGCAG